GCCCCATATTAATTTTTCAGCATGACGTCAGATGGTATGGAATACCACTTTGGCCAGTTTGTGTCAGCTGTCCTGGGTCTGTCCCCTCCCAGCTCTTGCTGCACCCCTAGCCTGCCCACTGGCAAGACAGTGAGTAGCTGAAAAGTCCTTGGCTTAGTGTAAGTACTGCTCTGCAACAATTAAAACATTAGCATGTTATCAGCACTCTTCTCATCCTAATCCAAACACAGCACCCTACCAGTTACTAGGAGGAAAATTAACTCTATCCTAACTGAAACCAGGACATCCATTATGGGTGTTCTTCTGACTTCTAATAAGTCACAAAGTAAATGGGTATAACAGTGTGTAATGGCTATCAGCTGATGACAGATCCAGGACTAGATGGTTCATTCATTAAAAATCTGAAGATATTGTTCAGGAACGATTTCTGACTCCAGTGATGTCAATGTGACTGGTACATACAGATTATTGACAGAACTGACGGAGGAGCTGGCCAAGCCGCTTACCATCATTTATCAGCAGTCCTGGCTATCAGGGGAGGTCCCAGTCGACTGGCGGTTAGCAAACATGACACCCATCTACAGGAAGGGCTGGAGGGTAGACTGGGGAACTATAGGCCTTTTAGTTTGACCTCAGTACCAGGGAAGCTCATGGAGCAGATTATCTTGAGTGTCATCACGCGACACTTGCAGGGCAAGCAGGCGATCAGGCCCAGTCAGCATGGGTTTATGAAAAGCAGGTCCTGCTTGATGAGCCTGATCTTCTTCTATGACAAAGTGACACGCCAGGTGGATGAAGGAAAGGCTGTGGATGTGGTCTACCTTGACTTCAGTAAGGCCTTTGAGACTGTTCCCCACAACATTCTCCTCAAGAAACTGGCTGCTCATGGCTTGGACTGCCGTACGCTTTGTTGGGTTAGAAACTGGCTGGATAGCCAGGCCCAAAGAGTTGTGGTGAATGGAGTCAAATCCAGCTGGAGGCCGGTCACTAGTGGTGTCCCCCAGGGCTCGGTACTGGGGCCAGTCCTCTTCAATATCTTTATCAATGATCTGGATGAGGGAATCGAGCACACCCTCAGTAAGTTTGTAGATGACACCATGTTCAGTGCGTGTTGATATGCTCGAGGGTAGGAAGGCTCTGCAGGAGGATCTGGAAAGGCTGGACCAATGGGCTGAGGTCAACTACATGAAGTTCAAGACCAAGTGCCGGGTCTTGCACCTGGGGTGCAACAACCCCGAGCAGAGCTACAGGCTGGGAGATGAGTGGTTGGAAAGCTGCCTAGCAGAGAAGGACCTGGGAGTATTGGTTGATAGTCGGCTGAATATGAGCCAGCAGTGTGCTCAGGTGGCCAAGAAGGCCAACAGAATCCTGGCTTGTATCAGAAACAGTGTGGCCAGCAGGGCTAGGGAAGTGATTGTCCCCCTGTACTCGACTCTGTTGAGGCCGCACCTCGAGTACTGTGTTCACTTTTGGGCCCCTCGCTGCAAGAAGGACATGGAGGTGCTCGAGCGAGTCCAGAGAAGGGCAACGAAGCTGGTGAGGGGTCTGGAGAACAAGTCTTACGAGGAGCAGCTGAGGGAGCTGGGATTGTTCAGCCTGGAGAAAAGGAGGCTCAGGGGCGACCTTATCGCTCTCTGTAGGTACCTTAAAGGAAGCTGTAGCGAGGTGGGGGTTGGTCTATTCTCCCACGTGACTGGTGAGAATAGATGAGGGGGAACGGGCTAAAGTTGTGCCAAGGGTGTTTTAGGTTGGATATTAAGAACTTCTTTACCGAAAGGGTTGTTAGGCATTAGAATGGGCTGCCCAGGGAAGTGGTGGAGTCACCATCCCTGGAAGTCTTTAAAAGACATTTAGATGTAGAGCTTAGTGATATGGTTTAGTGGAGGACTTGTTAGTGTTAGGTCAGAGGTTGGACGCGATGATCTTGAGGTCTCTTCCAACCTAAATGATTCTGTGATTAAATACATGACCCTTTGTTGCGGTTTAACTCCAACAGGCACCTAAATGCCATGTAGTCACTCATTCGCTCACTCTCCCCATGCACTATGGGTGAAGAAAATCAGAACGGTAAAAGTTAGAGATCATATGGTTTGAGATAAAGACAGTTTACTAGGTAAAGCAAAAGCCATGCATGGAAGGAAAACAAAATAAGGAATTCATTCACTACTTCCCCTCAGCAGGCAGATGCTCCGCCACTTCCAGGAAAGCAGGGCTAACCACATGTAATGATTTCTTGCAAAGACAAATGTCATCACTCTGAAGGCAGCAGCCACCCTCCCCCCCTTCTTTACTCTAGTTTTTGTTACTGAGTATGATGTCATATGGTATAGAAAATCTCTTTGGGCAGCCTGGATCATCTGTCCTTGTTGTGTCCCCTCCCAACTTAACTTTGCGTCTACCCCCATTCTTGCTGACAGGGCAGCATAAGAAGCAGAAAAGACTTTGTCTCCGTGTCAGCACTGCTCTGCAACAGCTAAAGACACTGTTGTGTTATCACTGCTATTTTCATCAAAAATTCAAAACACAGCATTGTGTGAGCCTCTACAGATAAAATTCACTATGTTCCAGCCAAAACCAAAAGTTTGCGCTTTCTACAGTGAGCATGTAAAAGAGTTAGTTAAAAAAGCTAAATCAGACTTCCTCTACTGGGGAAGATTACAGTATTTTTTGATGTTTGCAGATTTTTAACAGGACTACTGTGCCCTCACTTTGAGGAGGGATTTTAATCAGTTGATCCGTATGTTGGAAATTCATTGACTTGTGCATATCCTTTCTTCATCAGACTTGATGCCAGATGCTGCTTGCTGTGGACTTCAACTCAGTGCAGCAGCGTTTCAAACACAGAACAGTTGTACATCCATTGAATATTTCTTGTAACCTGCACCACAACGCCATTTTTACATTTTGGTGAAAATCCATTTTCACAGCTTTTAGGAGCTATTGTGTTTTAACCAGGCAGGCAGCTAAGCACCACACAGGTGTTTGCTCAACCCCCCCACCACAGTGGGATGGAAGAGAGAATCGTGAGGGGAGGGAAAAAAAAGGTAAAAGCTCATGGGTTAAAATAAAAACAGCTTAATAGGACAGAAAAGGAAGAGTAATAATAATAGAATGCACAAAGCAAGTGATGCACAATGCAATTACCACCTGCTGACCGATGACCAGCTTGTTCCTGAGCAGCGGTGCCCCCACCCCATATTTAATTTGTCAGCATGATGTCATATGGTATGAAATATCCCTTTGGCCAGTTTGGGTCAGCTGTCCTGGGTCTGTCCCATCCCAGCTCCTCATGAACCCCAGCCTTCTTGCTGGCAGAGTGGTATGAGAAGCAGAGAAGTCCTTGGCTTAGTGTAAGCACTGCTCTGCAACAATTAAACATCAGTGTGTTATCAGCATTATTCTCATCCTAAATCCAAAACACAGCACCATACGAGCTACTAGGAGGAAAACTAACTCTATCCTAGCCAAAACCAAGTCAGGAAGAAATTCTTGTGTTGAGAATTTATTTAATGAAGAAAATCTTTTTCCATTTGGTTACTTATTTGCATTTTTACATTTACCCAGTCTATAATTCAATGTATAGAAACCTTTATTGCTGAAATTAACACAGTAATCTAGGATAGACATAAATACATACATATACCTACATGCATATAAATTTTTTAATCTACATCAGGTAATAGAGATGTTCACTCATACTGAAATATCATTTTTAATAATAATAGGATTATAAAATGTAGACTAAAATTCACATATTTACTGGAATAAACATAGTTATAAAAATATTTCTTTTTTTTTTCTTAAACGTTTTTGTGTATATATAATATTTCCTTTCAGTACCTAAAGGGGGCCTACAAGAAAGCTAGGGAGGGACTCTTTGTCAGGGAGTATAGCAATAGGACAAGGAGTAATGGCTTTAAACTAAAAGAGGGCAAATTCAGTTTAGATATAAGGAAGAAAATATTTACTCCAAGGGGGGGGGGGGGGGTGAGGCACTGGAACAGGTTGCCCTGAGAAGTGGTGGATGCCCCCTCCCTGGAAGTATTCAAGGCCAGGTTAGATGGGGCATTAGGCAACCGAATCTACTGGAGAGTATTCCAGCCCACGGCAGAGGGATTAGAACCAGATGATCTTTAAGGTCCCTTCTAACCTAAACTACTCTATTATTCTATGGATTCACACTAAAACTAATAATTATATTATTGTATCGATTATTACACTCTCTTCATCTTATGGTAGACTTTACTTAATTCATATTGTCAGTATATGAACAGCTGTAAGAAAGAAGACATGATTTTCAAAACAGATGACAATAGGTGCTGGAAAGGACAACACACAATAAGCTAGATGTAGTAATGCAATCCTCTACCTACTTAATAGACTACTATAACTTTCTTGAAAGATTTTTCAACCTTCCCGAACAGCTAATTTAACGTGGAGGTGGAAAAAAGGTAATGACAGGTGGGAGAATTTTGCAAAGACTTCAAAAATTCACGAAAATTAGAACATAATACATCCATTGAATTGTGTGCCATCACTCTGAGGGCTACTAAAGGTTACCTTAAAATATTTTCTAGTACTGTAATTGAAGACAAGCTGGTCTGGTCTTAGAAAAAAGGATAGCAGTTAAAAGTATTGGTTGAATAAGAGTCACAAGAACAGAATATAAAATACAATATACTCATGACAATAGAACATTAGACTCTTATAAGCAAGGGAAGACACATCTCATGAAAATTACTCTATTTTACAAATAAGAGAATTATATTTTACAAGTTTATTTTTACAAATAAAATATTGTATTTTACAAATAAGGCTGTGTTTCACGTGGTCGTTTGGCGTGAGAAACCATCCACATTCTCCTTCCCAACAGCTGCGGGCCTGGTAGGTGAGGCCTTCAATAGTTCCACTAGCTGCTCACTCCCGACACGCAGCGGTGTGAAAGAGTGAGAGAGCCAGTAGAAGAGAGAAGTCGCCATATTTTTGCCTAACCACGCCTACAGATCCAAGCTATTGAAAACCCTAGAGAACTAGGTTCATGCTGTGCACGATCTAGCCGTACTTACTTTCTCTTCCTCTCTGGTAACAGGAACAAGTTGCGACAGCTCTCCCCGCGAGAGGCGCAGGCGACTGTACCGTGAATAAAGGCCTATCGTAAAGAAGCTCTCTCTACAGGCACGTACTAAGATTACCGGGTGACGTCGGACTTGCCCGCTTTTAGAGGAGCCGAAGTCTCGCTTTCGGACGGAGAGAGACGGATGAGGGCGGGGCGGAGGAAAAGAAAAACAGGATTAGCAGCCATTAGGATCTCCGTGGGAGGTGGTTACTTCGGAGGGTGGTGGTGAGGGACGTTTGAGGACCGCGTTGGTTGCAGTAGGGTGAAGCAGTGAGGGAAGGAGGGGGAGGGGTAGCTGTGCTGAGCAGCTCGCCTCACCTCGGTAGCGCTATAAGGGCTTCTCCAGGGGATATTTATATGTTGTTTGGTGTACGATTTAGAGGAGAGAAGGAGTTGAAAGCGGTCGCTATTTACAGGCGGGGAACGCGGGATCTGTGCTGCTGGGAGGGCTGTCGCTTTTTCCGTGCCTGTGCGTGGTATCGAGACAGCTCTGTGCTTACCCTTCAGTGCCCGGGTTGGGTCTCTCGGGCAGAGAACGTCTGTGTCCCCTAGGGCTAGTGCTGTGGTGGTGTGTGTGCGCGAGCATACGTTTTTACGGGGGGGTGGGGGTTGTGCCTGAACCAGTTACGAAGAATGACTTTGGAGTCCATCATGGCGTGCTGCCTGAGCGAGGAAGCCAAGGAAGCCCGGCGGATCAACGACGAGATCGAGCGGCAGCTGCGCCGGGACAAGCGGGACGCCCGCCGGGAGCTGAAGCTGCTTCTGCTGGGTGAGTGCGGGTTTTTACCGGCAGATACCCCTTAAGTGCCGCTGGAGGTGTAACCTAGCCAACGCCTGTGCTTTACATGGCGCGATCGGGTTCGGTCGCGGTCTGTGCACTCGCCACCTTCGCCGCGGAGCGGCCGTGTCGTTGGCAGCGGGGACGTGCCTCCGCCTCCGTGTTGTGTGTGCGCACTCGCGTACAGGCTTCACCAAGACGCTTGTAGTTGGATAAATAACTGTTTCCTATGGGTGGGTTTGATATGCAAAGAAACCCGGCCTTCTAAAACGGAGAGGGAAAGGGTGGCTGGAGAGGGAGAGAGATCGCCGATGATGGGTGTAGGAAAGTGATGAAAGGCAGCAGGTTAATGAAAGGACTAGAAGGGAAGTTGCTTTACAGATTGATGGTGACAGGCTTTAATATCTGCGTTGTTCTGTGAGCCTTGGAAAGGTTGTTGGGTCACCGGTTGCAAATTTTTTAATCCTCATTTTTATTTAATGAGGTCAGCTGGGATAAGGGGTTTGTGCCCAGACCGCTTTCAAAAGCAAAAGAAAAAATCAAAGCCCCAGATGCATGCATGAAGCTCAAGAGTAACCTGAAGTATGCTGAAGGTTAGCAGGATTTTTAATGCCTTTGGAATCCATCCAATGTTTAGGAAATAAAATCTATTGTATCATTTCTCTTTCATTAAAATAGAGGTTGTTATTTTGGAGCCACAAGTGTGCAAAGGCATTGTTTGTTTGATAGGAGTTCGGCTTGCGTTAAGATAAGCCTTTTGAATTAAAATGCAGTTGTCCATATCTGATGTGCTCTACTATGTTGTGTAGTTCCTGCAGTAACACAGCTTCTTCCTTAGACTAACAGGTCTTGAAATATGTCTGCACCAGTGTCTGGTGTGTGGATGAATGGGGATGTTCCAAATGGATGTGGGATGTTTATACCAAAGATGTTTGTCTTGGGTCATGTGCATGAAAGTAGTGACTTATATTGGGGGAATAAACTGCCTTTTCCTTTCATCTCTCTTTATCTCATTGAGGAGTCAGATTTTATTTTAATGCTTGCTTATGTATGTCCTATTTCCTACATTAAATATTACAGTTGGTCTCCTGTATATAGAGAAAGGTGTTGGGTTTCTTAAGTGTTGTTTTTTTTTTTTTTTTTTTTTTTTTTTTTTTAAAAAAAAAAGGTAGAGACAGGTATAATGCTACCAGTAATAACGTTGTCTCATTTTGGTTGGTGAAAGTGTTAGTTACTGTTTCAAAATCCAAAACCAAGATAAAATAGACACCTTGGATTTGCTTAATTTTATAGATGTTTAAATATAATTATTTAACTATATACATTTGCTTCAGGAGAGATAAATGGCACATTTGTTACTCAGGTCAAAACTGTTTCTGCATTTTCCTGATTCTTCTTGTTGTAATGGTAGACATTTCTCCAAAGTTTTTTTTTTTTTATTTTTATTTTTCCAAATGCATGAAACATTAAATCCCTTCTCTGTGGGATATATATTAGCATCATTCAGAGATTTGGTTCAAGGACAGAACCACTTCAAAAAATATGAAAATATTAATTAAAATGGTGAGATTGGGAACATAAATATCTGAAACTGCTTCAAGACATCCTTTTTTTAATTAACTAGACTTCTACTGTCCTATTACATGTCTCTTTCCCTCAAAACTTAAAATAGTAGTATTGTATTAACTTTAATGTATTAACATTATGTAAATGTTAGCAAACTTTTTTTTTTTTCCAAAAGTACTGACTTCTCAGTGCCCCGTTTAAAAAGTGTTGTTGAACTGAGAAGCCTAAGTGTGTTACAGACTTCTGAGCATGGGATAAAGTTATATCTGTTTCATCGTAAGGAGAGAACTAACACAGCTTAATCTGAGCTGTGTTAATTGGCTGCATGCACCTTAAATTTTTTGCAAGTGCAAAGTAAAACATATAAACTCTAAAGGTTTTAAGGAACAAATGCGCAAATCTATGCCTCATTTATTTTCTTGTTTAAAAATTAGATGTGTATACAAATACACATGTAGCAAGTATAAAGAAAAAAATCTGTGTCAGAAGATGATTTTTTTAACCTCCTGAACTTGCATAAATTATAGTGCTTCCTTGCAAAATGAAATATTTCCTTCCTAACTGTAGGTTATTGTTACTTTGTGACATGTACATATACACCCTTCTTGTGTGTTGTTAATATCTTTTTACTTTTCATGGGATCAAAGAGTTTAAAATGTTAGGTCATTTCTGGAAAACTTGTTTTTTACTTTGGAACAAATTCAGTCATGCACTGAATTTGGTTTTAATCTCCTGTATTATTCAAACTCTTCCAAATTTCATGCCTGCTGAATGCTTTGTAAAAGCTGCTAGGCAGCTAAGTGCCATATAGCCACTCATTTACTCTCCCCAGGTGGGATGGGGGAGAGGATCAGAAAGGTAGAAGTGAGAGAACTCATGGGTTGAGGCAGTTTACTAGGTAAAACAAAAGCAGCATGTGCAAGCAAAGCAAAACAATGAACTCATTTGCTACTTGCCATCAGCAGACAGCCACTTCCAGGAAAGCAGGGCTCATCACATGTAATGGTTTATTGGGAAGACAAATGCTATCATATCACTCTGAACACCTCCCCCCCTTCCTTCTTCTTTACTCTAGCTTTTATTACCAAGCATGATGTCATATGGTATGGAATCTCTTCGGTCAGCCTGGGTCGCTAATCCTGGCTGTGTCCCCTCCCAGCTTCTGGTGCTCCCTGAGCCTCCTTGCTGACAGAGCAGCATAAAAAGCAAAAAGAAGTGCTTAGAAAATCAAGGACTGCTCTGCAACAACTAAAAACATTGTTGTTAGAAAATTAACTCTGTCCCAGTCAAAACTATGACCATGGGGCAGCATAAGAAGTAAAAATAAATAAAGTTCTTGATGCAGTGTAAGCACTGCTCAGGAACAGCTAAAATGTTGGTGTGTTATCAAAACTATTTTCACCCTAAATCCAAAACAAAACACCATACAAGCTACATGAGGAAAGTTAAGTCTTATCTTGGCCGTGAACAGGACCCCACTGAACTTTAAATCAGGTAACTCTTTGTTATACCTCCCAGTTCAAATTTACTCTGTATATAAGCATTTTTTTTAATTTATGATTTGGATGAATCAAAACAACTGGTTTCATAGTAAATCTGAAGTATCATCATTAGGTACTCAGAGATTACATGTTGTGGTTTTACTTGAATGGGCAGCCGAGTTCCACCACAGGTGCTCTCTCACTCCCCCTCCTCAAAGAGGAATGGGGAGAAACTACAATGAAAAGGGCTCAAGGGTTGAGATAAGTACAGGGAGATCATGCAGTAATTATTGTAACGGGCAAAACAGACTCAAGAGTAGGGAGACAGTAAGCTTTATTGTTTATTACTAACAAGCTAGAGAAGTGAGAAACAACAGAAAGAAACCAAAAGAACCTTCCCCTCATCCACCCTCTTCCACCTCCTCCCCCCAAGCGGCAGAGGGGAATGGGGATTGCAGTCAGTCTATAGCACTTCGTCTCTGCCGCTCCTTCATGGTCATTCTCATCCCCTGCACTGTGGGGTTGCTCTCTATAGGTACCTTAAAGGAGGCTGTAGCGAGGTGGAGGTTGGTCTGTTCTTCCATGTGCCTGGTGACAGGACGAGGGGGAACGGGCTAAAGTTGTGCCAGGGGTGTTTTAGGTTGGATATTAAGAAGAACTTCTTTACCGAAAGGGTTGTTAGGCATTGGAATGGGCTGCCCAGGGAAGTGGTGGAGTCACCATCCCTGGAGGTCTTTAAAAGATGTTTAGATGTAGAGCTTAGGGATATGGTTTAGAGGGGACTGTTAGTGTTAGGTCAGAGGTTGGACTCGATGATCTTGAGGTCTCTTCCAACCTAGACAATTCTGTGATTCTGTTCCTCCCACAGGATGCAGTCCTTCCTGAACTGATTCTGTGTGGGCTTCTCACAGGCAGTAGCTCTTCAAGAACTGTTCCAGATATGGGTCCGTACCATGGGGTCCATCCTTCAGGAGCACACTGCTCCAAACTGGGTCGCCCATGGGCAGCAGCTCCTGCGTGGTCTCCTCTCCACGGGCTACAGGTCCAGTCCGGAATCTGCTCCAGTGGATGTCTTCCACAGGCCGCAGCCTCCATCAGTGCAGGTCCACCTGCTCCACCATGATCTCCTCCACAGGCTGCAGTGTGGGATGCTGCTCCACTGTGGTACACCATGGGCTGCAGGGGGACAGCCTGCTTCACCATGGTCCTCACTACAGGCCGCAGGGGACTTCTGCTTTGGTGTGTGGAGCACCTCCTCGCCCTCCTTCTTCAGTGACCTGGGTGCCTGGAAGGCCGTTTCTAACTCCTCTCAGTCTCCCAGTTGCTGTGTAGCAGCATTTTGATTTTTTTTTTCCATCTTAAATATGCTCTCACAGAGGCGCAAACATCACTTATTGGCTTGGCTCTGGTCAGCAGTGGTGCCCTTATCTAACATGGGGCAGCCTTTATATTGTTCTCACAGAAGCCACTACTGCAGCCTCCCTGCTACCAAAACCTTGCCATGCAAACCCACTACACGTGTTCTCACATGTTCAATTTTGCTGTTAATAGCTATGTTAAACAGAGTTGAGCATGCCCCTTCATCTATTGGGATTCAGTTGCATCAGGGATTCAGTTGCATCCAAATACAGACCATTTCACTTTAATGAAGTAGCTGTCCCAGCTGTCTGCAGCTGCACCAGTGCCTCACCAACCTCAGAGTAAATAATTTATTTTTTATAGGTAGTCTAAATCTACCTTTTTTAGTTTAAAGCTATTGCTCTTTGTCCTATCACTATACTCCCTGATAAAGAGCCCCTCCCCAGCTTTTCTGTAGGCTCCCTTGAGCTACTAGAAGGCTGTTCTAAGGTCTCCCTGAAGCCTTCTCTTCTGTCTGAACAACCCCAACTCCCTTAACTTATCTTCATAAGAGAGGTTCTCCGATCCTTTGATCACCTTTGTGGC